TGCCCAATACCTTGAATGTGACAGACTGTGACGGGCAGTCTGTCACACGTGTGTGGCTGGTAGGGGACAGCACACACAGACTGTCACATACAGTCTGTCCGAGGGGGGGAAAGAGGCCGGGGGGCGGGGAGGTGTAATGAGAGCCCCCACTTCGCAGACACCGGGGAGGGGAGTAGGGGGTCGGGGGAGGGGGGGGTCGGGGGTCAGGGACACCACCCATACCCCCCCTGACCTATATATATATTTAAAAAAAAAAATAAAAAAAAATGTTCGTGTTCACTGATTTTCGGAGCCCGTTCGCGTTCGGGCGAACGTGTTCGCGTTCGCTGGCGAATGCGAACGGGGTGCTACGCAGGTTTAGTCATTCAAGCCTCAACCTTTGTCCAACCTTACATAATAAAATGCTAAGTATCTTTGTTAAATGATCATTCAATAAAGTCATGGTAAGAACCCAGGGAAAAACAATTGATATCACAGGGGCTAAAGTCTTTAGGTTGAATGGTGAGAATGAGTTAGAATTGGGTCGTAAACCGATGAATCGGCAACTAACATGTTATCAGTGATAACAGAAGATGATCTATGTGGGATCAAGATAAAACTAGTCCAATCCTAAATCGAAATGTCTAAAGAGGACCTATAGCACATCATAGGTATATCCCCAAGACTAAATTATTAGTGTACAGAGAATGAACAACCATTATGATATCATGCTTCACTCAAATCCTTCTCATAGCTAAGTTTGAGTCTACCTCTAACCAAGTGTCCAAAGAAAGAAGACGTTGGTAGCATCTCCCCTATACAGGGTGCATAGCCAGAATCTTCTCTATCAAAATATAATATAACTCCTTTAAACTAAGGAAAAATTTGGCAACGCTTCCCATAAGCAAAATATACTTTCAGAATTTATACTCGTCGGCATATAAAAACTGAAATGGTTTTTAACTCTATATTTTTTTTTTTTTTGTCTAACTGCATAAATTAGCAAAATTTTGGGCAACATCTCCTTCAGAGAACTACACTTCCCATATTTATACTAAGTCAGACAAGAACTCAAAATAAAATTTAAGTTTCTGTCAAGACAAAATTTAACTAACTCTTTAGATTTGTAGAAATTTTGACATCACTTCCTCTGGAGAAGTGTCACTCCAAAATCCACATAAAGCTATATACAAAACTTGGAAATGGTTATGACTTCCCAAAGTTAATATTTGCCCAACTCCCTAAATTAGTAAAAATTTGAGCAGCGCTTCCCCTAGAGAAGAATGTTTTCCATATTTATACTAAGACAGATATAAAACTTAGACAAAGTTGAACTTTGAAAAATCAAAATTTAACAAACTCTTTGGTTTTGTAGAAATTTCGACAGCGCTTCCCGCAGAAAAAGTAGCTTTCCAAAATTTACACAGAACCGAGTGAAATAACTATCTTAGAAAATATAAGAACTGAACTAAGTAAAACAAAGTTAACTCATAAAATGTAGGAATTGAACTAACTCATAAAGCTTCAGCACTTGGCGAGCATCTAAAGCAATTACCCATTAAAGCTGAAACTCAGACACATGCAAGTTTATACCACAATGCGTAAGTACTTAAAAAAAAAAAAACCTTAGTTATGTAAACTTATTTTCACATAAACTAGTTCATTAAACCCTCATATAATTTATCCCTTATACACAGCTTACATATGGCATGGTGCTAGGCCATTCAACTTAGAAACAATGCCTAGTATGTCTTAGATTATACACGAACAGGTCGCACGATTGAATGCTTATCAGGAGAAAAAAAGTCTAGTCTTTTTGAGTCCTGATTAAATGCAGCAGCGGTAATCCGTGCCTAGATGCCGCAGATAGCAGCAGCGGTAGTCCGTGCCTAGATACCGCAGACAGCAGCAGCGGTAGTCCATGCCAAGATGCAGCATACAGCAGCAGCCCTAGCCTACAACCATATGGAGCACTGTGTTACAGTCAGCAGTGACAGCAGGTAAATCCCTCCGTTCAGCGGGTTGAGCAGCACAACTGGCTGTAGATGGGCCTTCTGGCTCCGCTGCCTGCTTCCCTGCTGCCCCGTTTTGTAACTCTAGTCAGCTACATTTGAACAGACCCCGCCCTTAACTCCCCACAGTGTACGCAGTGTGATGCACGGTAGAGCACTACAACCGCGTGTTGCCCAGCGAAACCATAGTAGCCCGTAGGAACTCATATGCAGGCAAATGGACCCCAGGCAGCAGCGCAGCAGCGGGCGTAGTCGAAGATACTCATACTGCCAACACAAGCGATCAACAATCAACGGGAATGGGCGCGATATCTCGCCAAGCCGTATCTAAATGATGACAACACCAGCCATTTGGTTGGCTACCTCTGTAAGATGGAGGTGAACCTTTCGCTCGAACGCGACTAGGTGCTTTGGCACCTCGCTAACCCTCTCTCTCTCAGTGCAGCTTCATTCTCTCAAGCTCGAAAACTACCACTATGTTCCCGCACCTAACTTCACTACCCGACTCGCAGCATCCCACTCCTCCAGTCTAAAATCTTCGACCGATTTTTTTAATCTTCACTCCTCTTCGTCCTCCTGCCCGACTCCATCCGCGCGCCCCATTTTCTTACTAACTCATCTCTCACTAACTATCTCACTAAACTAATCTTCTATCCGTGATCGGCCGGGGTCAAAGCCTCAGGATCGTCTTTCTCCTCTCCCGGATAATCGGGTGCGCCCCCACTTCCCTGCTGCTCCCGAGTCCTTAGTTCGCCATCTCTGTTTCCTTTGCTCCACATGCACCTCTCACAGCCCCCTGTCCCAGTTCACTCTTCAACTTTCTGTGCTGCGTCCGCACCCAGCCCCTCCCTGCTCGATTTGTCGTTGGCTCCCTCGATCCGACATCATTCGATTACGGTTTGTGGATAGTTTTAGTCGCCTTTCCCTTTGCCTGGCCCACCAAGCGCTCGTTGCTCCACCTCATGGCTCTGGCGCTCGTCGCCTTTCTGCCCTCTTCGCCCTCACCTGTACGCCCCTGCTAGCTCCCAGCATTCAATCAGATACCATTCGGTAGAGAGAGCAAAGCAGAAAGCCCGAACCATCGGGCTTTCTCAGTATTTATGCGCGTTATCCTTGCGTAGGGGCCATGCTAATCTCCCCTATACTGTTCCAATTCTAACCGATATCCAGGTAAGTCAAAGTATTTTGGCTTTCTACTCATTTAGTTCCTTCATCTGGGCTAGAGCACGGGCCTGTACTTCGACAGTTCGCTGGTGTACTTACTGAGTTGGGCCTTGACTCACCGGCCAGCCTCAAGACCGGTATCGGCCCCGGACTTGAAGGAAGGGAAAATAAAAGTAACAAGGATAATAAGAAGTAATAAAAATAAATCACCCTAGGAAGAGGAGG